GCATCTTTTTCAATAATCGGTGATGCCATGGAATTTTATAATACAAAAACTACACCAATATCCGTCATGCCATGGAATGTCTGCTATAAAACAAATCAAATTCTATCGAAAAGTATTATATTTAGAACAGCGAATTCAACATAAAGAAAGACCAAATTACTAAAAACGGTTTCCTAATATAACAATTTACAATAAATGTTCGAATAAGTCACCATTAACTGCAAGACAGTAACCAAGTCGATCATAAAATCCATTTCGAATTGCTGCTAATTGATAACTGGATATCTTTTTGTTTTAGAAAATTCCATGGCATCGCAGATTATTGAAAAAGATGGGGGTTTTATTTTCCAATTTTCCGTCTTTATTATGCAAAAAATTGGAAACTAATAGGGTTGATTGACGTAAAAAATTTTTTCCTACAAAAAACCTTAATACATTTTTGCTCTAAAATAATTTGGGGAGCCAATAATCGCATGTTATGAATTTTACATTGAAATCCCTATGATGCGTTACGCAAGTCACCACCCTGTATGATATAAGCATATATCATTGTTGTAACACAATATCAATAAACACATACATACTTATAAGCAGTAATCTTGTTTACATATCTAACAATAACTCTTACCATTTTCGCTAAAACGCCCACGCAAACGGGGGTATGAAATGTCCACCCAAAGAACCACACGTATACATTTATTTTAATTTTCCCGGTATTTTTACTATTTTTACATTTAATCTTATTTTTATTTAGTGAAGTAGTGTTTATTGCGTATAGGACCGTATTTTAACAACTGTAATAATGACCGATGCAGATGCAAGTCAAACTAAATTGCATAAGTATGCAATTTTGAAATTTTTAACCTCGGTCATCTTAATACTAGATTTCTCTTATTGCAAACTATAAACAGTTTCGTTATGTACAAACAAGGTAGTAAACGACAACTTGCCAGAATTATAAAAAAAAATGTAAAGGCTACAGTTAGATTAGCCGAAGTGAACAACATTTCTGATCTTACCTTTATTTAATAGTACGATTTAATGAGATTTTAGTTTGCATGCCTCTTTTTCAAAAGCTAAAGATTTAACTAGCGAGCAAAAAGCTTATGTATCTGCTCTGATCGTGAACGTCAGTGCGTCGTTTAATTAAGCAATTGAAGTCAAATGAGCCTCTCGAATCTACTCGGAAGGGCAAATGTGGACGAAGGTTCAGAAGGGCAACCCAGAGCGCTATAAAAAAGAAACTGGATGAAGCAGGAGTCGATGTTGCTCTCCGTACAGTGCGCCGAAACCTGTATGACATGGGTTTCAAATTTCGAAGACCTGTAAGGAAACCAAGACTGACTTCAGCCATGGTCAAAAAGCGTTATGAGTGAGCTTGTGCTCACAAGCGTTTAACTGTTGAAGATTGGCGTATAGTAAGGAGATTCAAATCAATTTAATTTTTGTTTTAATGACTTTTTTTGCTTAATTACTTGCTTTAGTGACGAATCGTCGTTCCACATCTTGGATGACAAGTCACAGTTTGTAAGATGTCGCGCAGGCAAAAAATACAACAGTGACTGTGTTGTGAAGACTGTTAAGCATCCTTTATCAGTTATGGTATGGTCAGTCATTAGGGGGAAAGGAATGGGACGCCTTTATGTTGTGGAAGGGACCATGCAGCAAGATCAATACAAGAAAGTGCTGCAGACAAGGCTCCTTCTTCAGATGCAGGAGTGGTTTGGGGATGGCCCAAAAGTTTTTATGCAGGATGGAGCACCTTGCCACACTGCAAAATCGATAAAAAAATACTCAGAAGAGGAAAAATAACAGTTTTGCCTTGGCCAGGAAACTCCCCCGACATGAATCCCATTGAAAACGTTTGGGAGTGTTTAAAAAGGCTAATAGCCAAAGATGGCATCACCACAAAGGTGCAGTTGATTAGCAGAATCATTCATCATTGGAACCACAATGAAAAATTAAAGGAAATCACTCTAAACTGCATTGAAACGAGGCCTACGATACTTACAGGCCGGAGCGCTCGAAAAAGTCACGTGACGTTAGGAGTCATATGAAATACATTACGGCTTATGGAAAATCCGTGCGCGGCTCCACTATTTATTTTTTTACTCCGGATCCGTTCAACATAGAGACACGAAATTTCAATGAGAGCTTGTCAATAGTACACACAATCAAATTATGGTGTTCGTTAATTTTTAATATCACTAAAAATAATTAATTTTTAGGTTTAAAGTATTGAAGATAAAACGATGTTAGTAAATCCGCGTTTTTCTATCTTTACATCATCATATTTCTTTTTCTAGGAACTATATCATCATAATCCTTTCGGTGTCTTAAACTAGAATGATATTCGCCTCCAATTATGCGTATATGATGCCTAATCTGATATTAGTATAGTTTTAAAAGGCCCTACAAAATCGAGCATTTATTATCCGCGCAGAGAAAAATTCAACATGCGAGAAACTTTTTTGTTAATGCTATAATTGTATCACATATATCGAATGAATTGTGACCAAAGGACACAAAAATGTTCTTCAGAAGGAATTTTTAAGAAATGGTCTCTTGTTTCCTTTTTTTTCAGCAGCTGAAGTAAATAGCGCGATTTCAAGAATAAGTGAACGCGCAAAGGAATTATTATGTTTCAAATAATTGTTAGTAATCCATTTTCAAATTGTGTTAATGCATAGTGAATGTAAATATACGCGGCATAGACGAATTCATTTTTTAATAATACCACAACCTTCATAGGCGAAGAACTGTGATACAATGAATTAGCCTAATTGACTCTCCGTGTCTTTTTTTGATACGGATACTTTGTGCTGTCTGGAGTTACGTAGCTGTTGCACCGTATCATATCAAGGATACGATACGAGGATACGCAACAAGTCTGGACCGGCCTGAAACGTGTACAGTCATAATATAATACCATGTGAACGACAGATGGTGCGCAGTAGGCTAAACGCGCTGTCTCACTCGCATTCACGTCAACAGTTGTCGCCTAGCGCTCTCACCTATAGCAGACTTTCAACGTGTCTGGCAAGATGTAGAAACCATTAAAACTGTCCGGCTATGGAGGTAACATCTTTCTATAGGTCCCCAAGTAACATTTAAAGTTCAGCTTTTATACTATAACGAAAGTACAATCATAATTTTTTAATGTTTAGGGGTGTCTGGCAGGGGGTTGCAACTATACTAAGTGTCCGGCAATGGATGACGTAATTTCTAATGTTAATACGAAGAAAATATAGAAAATGTGAGCTTTATACTTTAACAAATTTGATGTAACATTTTATACACCTTTACTACCTGTTATCTGCGTAAGTAACCACAACTCAAATTCTATACTCGCTGATCGTTCTTACCTGTGTTAGAGGCACCCACAGAAAAACTTTTAGCTTTTATAAAATGACGAAGGTCTGGCCGTCGTGGGCTCTTACCCTATAAGTGAAAGGATTGAGAATGAAACCCAAAAGAAATTAAAACAGAAGTGTAAGAAAACCCAACCTTCACCAAAGAAAAAAGTCAAAACCAAAAAGTACAGCACCAGCGATACAGATTCGAGTGAAGAAAATCTGAGTGATCCGCAATATATAGACACAGAGGATGATCTAGATCCAGAAGATTTTGAAGATGATCTGAATACAGAAAATTCTGAAGACACGCATCACGAAAATTTTGAAAATCTACGTCCCGAAAATGTTGACGGTCAAATTCCTGAAAATTTTGAAGATATGCATCCAGAAAATACATCACTTGACGAGGGTCAATTGGAGGAAACAAATAATGACGATAAAGAATGTAATTCACACAGTGAAGGGGGAATGAATATTAAAAAGAACTCGAAAAAATGGAATTTGAGATTGGAAGATTTTATAGTGATCAGATTTGACCGAAAGGACACTGGCATCAAGTGCTATATTGGAAAGATCTTGGAAATTGAACATGAAAAAGATACCCTTTATTGCAGTTTCATGAGGTTAAAAAGGCACAACAATGGATCACATTCATATGTTTTTCCAGACAACGAAGATTTATCCATCGTAGAGAAAAATCAGATTGTTCAAGTTTTAGACACGCCCCCAATCCGACGTGGGCATTATTATTTTAAAGACATTTTTCAATAATTTCTACTTCTAGTGTTTTTTTGATTTTTTTATCGATTGCACTTTTATTTTGACTTCATTTAACTCTAATTTTGATGTCTATGTAGTTCACAAAGTTTAATAAAGTTTTCCTTAATATTCTCCCCTAATTCTTCTTGTTACATGTTTCCACACATTGTACCTACACTGTACTCTTATCAAGTGTTAAACAGCGATTATATATTTAAAAAAAAATATATAAAAAATTTTAAAGCAAACCTCATGTGATGAAGATTATATTACACTTGCCCCGTCAATTTATACATATGCGTAAATGAGTCTAATAAGCCGTGGTTGCACTTTCCCACTTTGGCTGGGAAAGTGCAATCAGTCACAGGCCAAAATAAAAAAAATTATAACATACTTCTGTTTTGTGTTGTAAAGGAAATATGAGCCAAGTCAGTTAAACAACCTTACAAGGAATCAATATTAACTAAAAATCATTTTTTTAATCTTAAAACTGCACATGTTATACTTAATTGAAGTTGAACTATTAAAAAACATGGTCGCACTTACCCCACTTTACCTTATAAAAATATTAATAGGCTTAAGTTAAATTTTCCCCAACACAATTACGATACAAGGACAAAAATAAAGAATTTGGCGTATAATTTAAAAATACGGAAAAAAGTTGGTCAATCTTACTTCTTGTATTATACTCAAAAGCTATATAATTACCTATTAATCTACACAAATTTGTCTTTCCCTTTAACAATTTCATATCATGCGTTTATCAAATTTATTAAAGAACTTCTCCACAATAATTTCTCCCATCTTGAATGACAGATTTATTTATTTTAACGGATACTCTACCCTAACTCTTTGTTTTTTATCACTCTCAACTTGTGATCGGTTCAAAAAGCGTTTTCTACGTACACCTTGGGGTGTAGTGACAACAAGTTTTTAACTTAGTCGTTACACCTAAGGACGCTACAAATGATATTTTATAGTTATTTTCATTTTGGACATTTTTTTACATTTACATTTATACATAGGTTATAGGTTTCTGTTACAACAAGAATGTAAATAAATGGTTATTATTATTATTATTACTTGTACTAACTAGTAACTGCCAACTTAAGAGATGAGTTACCAAAAAAAAACGACTATAATAACTGTCTTTGTACAACTGTTTTCCAAAATCATCATTGTGACACCGAAATAGAAAAAAAATTAAAATTTGTTGGGTGGGCCTAATAATTTGGCCAAGGACTGTATGTGATTGTAGAGTTTCCTGAGGAGGAAAATGAAGATGGAAATGTTCCCATGGATATCATTTCCGAAAGATGGCTATTTAAAGATAATAATGTGTTACTGGCCGCCATATAAATCTGATCTGTTAAAAACCAAGGCAGTCATGAGTCACCAGGATTTCGATAAAAGTAAAGCTGGATCTTGCCTTGTAAACGTAAAATACAATTATTAAGTACAAGTACCTACTTGTAAATTTGTGTTACTGATTCATATTTTCTTACAGCGGAATACTCAAAGGCAAAATCAAAAATGGGTAGATTACTACAAGAACAGCAAGATCTCTCCCAAACAGAAGAGGAAGTTTCGGTAAATGTTGACAGAAAAAAAAACAATTCGAACTCTTCCTGACTTCGAAACAAAAGAGATGTCATCAGATGATGAAGGTTTAGTGCCAGCACCTTCAACATTACAAAAAAAAAGCAAGTTACATCTACTGTGCCAACTACACCTAAGGTAAGTGTGCAAGAGCGAGATATGGCAGCAAGTACGAGCTACAATGCATGCACCTGCAAATGTTGCATAGAAAATAAAAGTGGGTATACTGATAGCTTTTTATTTCCTACTCTTTAATGCAATGTGTATTTATGTTATATATTTTCCACGAACATATATTTCTAGTAATGATGCGGAATCTGCTGCAAAAATTTGAGAAGCTGTCAAGCGACGTAAAAGCAGTTTTAAACAACCCTCAAAGAAATTACGTGGCTGATGACACTCAAATAGACCAGATGGCATTTACCACTGCCGATAATGAACAAGACTTGCAACACCTGGAGAACGTGTTATCTGACAATGAGTATCTACTAAAAGCAGTATGTATTATTACTGTATTAGGTATTACTTTAATTTTTTCTTAGTGTGGCACTCTCCGAATGCTTGGTGGAAAAGATATCACCGAGACCACACGTCGAGTGTTGGCAAAAATGGTTTCCACTACCCTGGCAATGAAATGTAACTGAGCTGACCATCATGAAAAAATTGCATTTTCTACATATACAAATATTTTAAAGTTGATACTTGGTGCGTATATTTAATCCATTAAATAATAGTAATATTAATTCAAATTATTCTAGCAACAGTGCGAAAAAATCCACATTCGCGGGAAGCCACCCAAATAGAGGTGGAAAACAAAATCGTGGCTGCGGACGGCTGGAGATAGAGATGATGGAAGAAGTAAGAGGGGGAAAGCAGAATAAATTTTCCAATACACTTTTTTAAATATTTGAAAAAAGTTAAGGAATAAATTATATGCAGTGTACATTTTGTTTATTCTAAACGATCTTGAAATGTCATTTAGATGAATAATAAATGCTGACAATTAAACGGCTATGGCCAATGGTAGGCACACGGTGTATTATCCGCTGTTAACCCGAGTGTTGGCCACCATGATGGCAATTAAGTGGCCCTTAATTGGTGTTCTGAATACTGACAGTTGGCCTACCTAGGGCCACTGAGATATAAAAATTCTGGCTAAACGTTGTTCACAGCTGTTGGCCCAATGTTTAACCAAAGTAAAAATGTTTGTTGGGTAGTGGTTATTGTAAAAATTTACGTCAAAGTCAATTAATAAAAAAAGGGATTATATTTACCCAGATTGACCCTACTTAAATTACCTTCTCCGCATATGTCACACAAATACATGTGCAGTACTTCGGGTACATGAGTCTTCAAGTGCTTTTCCAAATCTTCAGACGTCTTGAAGACAATTAAGCAATACACACAAATATTGCTTTCCTCGCTGTGTGTACACACATGAAATTTCAGTTTGCCCCCAACTTTTTCACCACAGTGTATACATATCGATTGCCGTATAAAATGACTACGTACGTGCGAATAAAATTCGACATAGTTTTCAAAGATGCGATTACAAATTCTACAGTCGTAAGGCGAGCCAAGGTCTGTTAACCACCACTTTTCAGAAGTATCGTACAATTGCAAATTTTGATCTTGCGTTGACAAATACTCGACCTCGACCTTGTCAATACATGTTGTTTCGGCAGACTGATCACCATCAATTTCGTTTTGCAGATTCTCTTTTTTCTCGGTTTTCACGCTGTAGTTGTGATCAAAAGATACGGATGAAAAACTGTCATCTGTTAGCGAAAGCGATGATGATATATCATCTTTGGAATTTACAGTAGTAACCTCAGTTTCGGTTTTACTCAAAATGTATTCACTATTTAACATCGTGTGTTTAAAGTTGCAAGCTTGAAGGGTACTTAAAGCACACTGGGAACAAATTGCGCTTGGTAACGTATCGTCTTGTTGCAACTGAAAGAAGCCGATAAAAGATAAATTAACTAACTGCAACTACTTACCATGACACCAAAACAATCGTCAATGACTTTAAAAATTGAGGTTGATGAAAAATATTCGTTAATTCCGTATAAGGAGTATAAATTTTCTTCCTCCTGAACTTCCAAACACACCCTACAAGTCTTATCAACATCTAACGCCATGCAATCCTTTGTTTCAACTTTAACAGGTGAATTTTCATGGATAACTATTTCCTTTTCGTTATTAACTACCAGTTTTTCATTTTCCTCGATCATTTCAAACATTTTTCCCGAATAACCTTTTTCAAACTTCTGATACACAAAATTCACAGATTAATACGTACCACAGATCAATCATACGATTGACAGAGGTAGACAAAGAAAAGAACGTGAACGGTTGGTATCTTGTATATATATGTTGGTATCAAAGTGGTATCAAGTTAACGGCAAGTTTTCGGTTAAATTTTATATACAAGGAATATCAAAATTATGGTGCCATATTAAATGTGTATAATGTGTTGCCTATATAACATCAAAACCAACGCCCAAGTATGAAGTGATTGTTTTCGAATCGAATATTCGTTCAAACGTTGCCAGTGTGATATTGATTACTTCTCCTTCAATCGCATTTCGTTCTTCAAGAATGTGTGAAAGATTGCGAAAAATATTATTCTTATCAGTGTTACCTAGTGAAAAATTATTGTTTATGAAAGCGTAATTTGGGGTAACTTAAGACACAGGGATAATTTCGAGACAAATTGCGCACTTAAAATTAACGTCCTTTATGGCAGACCTGCGTGGTTCGTATAAAAGTGGCGGGTGATTTTTTTAGTTTGTTTACACGTCTATCTTGCGAACTCGCGATTCATTATCATTACACAGGATGTTTCAGGCGTAGAATTTATTTTTAATAATGTAAGTCTAAGTAGTTGTTTACCAGGTAGCAAACAAGTTTAACTTTTAGGACGTGGATTTTCAAACAATACCTGACGACAGTGATGCTATGCAAGACAAATGGACAGGTATGTAATTTAAATAATGACTAAATTAAAAAGTTAACATGTTATCCATTGTAGAAAAACATACCACAAGGCAGCCGCGTAGCGAGACAGGGGCGGCATTGCCGGCCAGCAGCCGCTTGCCGCATTAAGGAGCGCGCCCACCGAATCCGTTCCGCTCGGCTCGGCACCGTTCCGCACAGTCCCGTCCGTCCAGAAGGCGCCCACTGGTTCCGTCTGCTTCCGTGACCGTCCGTCGCATCGCGTTTAGTTCGATGTAAAATGGCATCAAGAGAGGTTGTAACACGTCGAGACGCAGAGAGTTCTTCCGATGAAGAGGTTATTTTAGTGGCTGCATGCAGTGAAATCAAAGAAAGAAGATATTGGGTACACGATATTTTTATAAACAGAGACGAGTATGGGGAATTCCATCATTTATTTCCACAATTGCTAGAGGACCCGGAAATATTTATGACTCACATCATACAAAATGGGATAATGACGGATGACGCACCAACTCTATCAACTTTTCGTCACCCATGTTTGTGCGCTGCAAATGCTACGTATAATGCACTGCTATTTTAGAATTTTAGCGAGAGACGGGTGCGTCACCGGCAAAAGTTGCTAGTCGAAGCAACCACGACGGAGACGAACTGGACGGTGCCGAACGGGTCGGAGTGCGACGGATTGGGTGGGCGCTACTCCATTGCTTTCTGTGTAAAGCAACTCGGACGGAGAGACGGGACTGTGCCGTGCCGAGCGGAACGGATTCGGTGGGTGCGCTCCTTTACGCGGTCGGCACTCGGCTCGACAGTATTACCTTACCATTTCCGCTTTCGGCTTTCGTTAAGAAAAAGCGCATGAAAAATGTAAGCGCATTTAAAATACAAAAAGATGCTAGGAACGGTTCTCCGAAACCGACGTCCAATTGTTGCAAGGCGTTAAGAAGGATTTTAAGGTAAGCGTACACTTTCTAACACTAATTTGATTAAGGTGAACTCAAACTTGGAGGTTAATCATTCCTAATTCCTTCTAAAGTTGAATCTTTCATAGATTTCATTAGAGACTCGTGGCAAAAGTGCTGAAGATTTGACGAATCTAATTCTGTCGAAGCTAGATAAAGACGGTCTTGACATACAGAACTGCCGAGGACAGACATACGATAATGCCGCGGTTATGTCTGGTGTTCATTCCGGCGTACAGAAGCGTATTAAGGACGTGAATCCAAACGCCCAGTTTGTTGCTTGATCAACCATTCATTGAATCTAGTTGGAGTCCATGCTGCTTCTATTTCTGTTGATTCGGTTACGTTTTTTGGAACATTGGAACGTATTTACGCGTTCTTTTCTTTCTCCTCTCATCGGTGGACAGCCTTGTTGGAAAAAACCGGTCGTGGCGTAAAACGGCTAGTGGAAACACGCTGGTCTTCGAGAGAAGAAGCGACAAGTGTAATCAAGAACAACTTCGAAGATATACTCGACGTACTGGAATCTCTTTCACAGTCTTCGTCAGAAAATGCATCTACCAGGTCCGACGCCGGTATTCTGTATAACGCAATGCAAACGTTGCCATTTATGTCCTACCTTGGGTTATGGAGTGCGATTTTGCCCGAAATTAATTCGGCTCAAGTCTACCTGCAAGGAAAAGGTCGAAACCTACACGACTGCGTTGTCAAAATTCTTGCTTTGAAAACCTGGCTAGTAGAGAAACGTGAGGATTTAGTTACTGGCGGTTCAGAATACGCGAGAAAGATATGTGAAAAACTTTGCATTGATTTGGCACCTCGCAGAATTTGTAGAAGAAAGAGGATGGACGATGGCAATCCTGTTACTATTGAACCTGAACCTATTCTAACTTTTGAACAGAAGCTTGAACTGCAGCTATACAAGTCCGTCGATAAAATCATCGAAGAAATTACCTCGAGATTTAAGCAACTCCAAGAGCTAGATAACAAGTTTTCTCTTCTAACACCGTCTAACCTACTGGATCCGAACTTCGCCTGTGACCTGCAACATGCGCCTTCGGATATCGATCAGGACGAATTCCGAATTGAAAGGGAGAGGCTACGGCATTTTATTGAAGCTGGCAATGAAGCAGAAGCTTTGAAATTTCAAGGACCTTTGGAATTACTGCAATTTATACAGCAATTTGGTCTGGCCGATTCTGTTCCGAACATTGTGGTTTACTTGAGGATATTCTTAACCCTGGCCATCAGCGTTGCAACTTGCGAACGCAGTTTTTCGAAATTGAAACTGATTAAGGACTACCTTCGTTCGGCCATGAGTCAACTTAGATTATCAAACTTGGCTATTCTTTCCATCGAACACGAGCTCACCAACGCAATAGATTTCAACGCTGCAATGGACGAGTTCGCAGCCTTGAAAGCTCGGAAAATCAAGTTCTGACTTCCGAGCAACCAAGGGCGTAGCTACGTTGGGGCAGGGTGGTGCATTTGCCCCACCCTAGCTTGGCCCTCACCCATCCGACAAAACGGACAAAACGCATGTTTGTGTGAACTTGCTGGCTGTGTCTAGCTGGAAGTGGATTTCATTATGCCACGGCTAGCCCAACGCCAAACACACCGTGCAAATCCTTCAGCACAGAACCCTGTCGAGTACTGGAACAGATCGTTGGTCATTCCATACCTAGACTCAATTATTATGTCTTTAGAAGAGCGCTTCTCTGACAGTAACTCGCCAGCATATTGCTTAGCAATATTGCACCCATATCTCATGCTACAAATGACGTTGCAAGAATTTTTAAAGAAGCTAGAAACAGTTTACAATTTTTATGATTTGGGCGCTGGCGCTGCTGGTTTCCTTAGTGAAGCTGAACTATGGTACGATATGTGGCAACAACAAAATGTGCCGCAAAATGTACTTAAGGAAATAGACATTTTGGAGCTTGTGAAAGAAACGGACATGTTTTATCCGAGCATCAAAATAGCTCTTTCAATTTTACTGGCCCAACCTTGCACCACATGCACGATTGAGAGGTCTTTCAGTACATTACGCCGTGTCAAAACGTGGCTTCGTTCCACTATGAGTGAACATCGGCTCTGCGGTCAAAATTCAAAGCCGAACTGCTAAGAAGGTTCTGCCTGAACCCTCGCCGGCTTTTGCTAAAGTAAAAAGGTAGTTAATGTATTTTCCTCGGTATTTTCAATATAATATAGATCTTTCCTGAACATATTTTAGTTTTTGTTTGTGTCAAAACAGGTTACATGGTTTGTTTGCCAAATGTACGTTTGAAATGCAAAAAATAAATCATTTATACACTTATATAATTACATTTTTTCTTACGTTTGCCCCACCCTGAAGAGGCGACTGGCTACGCCCTTGCGAGCAACTTAATATTAATTCCAATATTAGAGTTATTTTTTATTTATACTATTATAATACTACATTTGCAAAATAAATTATCTTCAGCAGGGAATGATTGCAAAAACCGGGGGCGGCATAACCGATCTCCGCCACGGGCGCATTTTCGTCTCGCCAAAGGCACAACATTTACCATTGTGGGGACGTCACAACAAGAAACTTCAAATCCATGGAAAAAGGTAAAAGTTTCCAACTTGAGACTACCTGTCACATCTCCACTTCGGCCACACAACTTTGCGGCAGTCCGAAAGGGCGGGGAGAATATAAAGGAAAGGAGAAGACCCGTCAAGCAAATGACAACTTTGACGTCCTCTGATGTTGCACACAAATCCAATTTCCTGTAAGATAAAAGACTTGCTTTAGTAAACACTCAAGTAGAGGACTTGGAAGAGGAGCTAAAATTCAAAAAGGAAGAAAGGAAAATTAGAAAGTTAGAGTGCTTAAAATTAGATATTGCCTATAAGAAGACACTTTTAAAATAAAATTTACATGTTCGTAACTTTGAAATGTAAAAAAACAAAGTAGTATCTATTTTGCAGTTCCAAGAGGACGACTCCCAGAGCGTTCTCAATTTTTTTACAGTTAGTGAACCCTAAAACAACCTTTTTCAACAATTCTGCCGTTGGTCTTGCAAATCGACGGACTGTGCAATTTTTTTTCAAAATCCGAAGAATTTTCTTAGTTAATACTTAAATGGAATAATTTCCAAAATACCACAAAAAATGTAAATAATGGACTTTTTGCCAAATTAAAAGAGTTGAACCCGAATATTAAACTGATTCAATTCAACTTGCAGCTTCTGCAGCAACTAAAACTTTTCCAAGGAATCTGGAATTTTTGATTAGAGAGACGTATGATTGGTTTTGTCGATCATCTAGCCGTCAGTTGAACTATAAACAGATCTGAATCTACAATGCTCTCAATGATGGACACGATCCGCTAAAAATTACACAAGTATCTAATATGCGATGGCTTTCTGTGGCGTCCGCAGTGAGCCGGATTCATAACCAATGGCTTGAACTGAAGACACATTTTTCTATTGCAAGTCAGTGTGAGGAAATAGTTATTTACATTATTAGTGCGGGAACAGTTATTTTGAAGATGAGCGCGAAGTTTGGCGGCGCGAGTGCGCAACGCGCACGAGCGACGCATCTCGCGCGAATCAAGCAAATACTGTTCACGCACGTAACATGTATTCTATTTTTTGCACGGATTAGTTAAATCGAATGTATATAAATTCAAATCCTTTTCGCGAGATTTTTGCGACATTATAATTCTTTTGAAAAAATCAAGTCCTCTATGCCGATAAAGTAGAAATTTAGAAAATTAAAATGTCAATTTATTGTTCAAAACTTCTGGTTTACGCTTATTTTTGTCCGTGGACTACAGGGAATGATGTAAGTGTATTTATTTTTTCTTTTTTACTCTTCCATCATACTACTTTTTAGTTTATGATCCGCACTAAATAGATAATTTCGTTGAATTTTTAGGCACTAGTGCGCGAAAGTAGATAGTCAATTGTAAAATTGACGTTCCCGACGTTCGTGTTTTATTGGGAAAACGCGATTTAGAACGAAGGAGTGCAAAAAATGTTATTCCGCCCATTTGCTGCATCAAATGTAGGGGAAATGTGCCTGAGATGCACAGAGTTGTATATAAGTAAATAGAGAGACAGTCTTGTAGCGAAAAATTGACTCCAATTGAACCTTGCGCAGGCCGTTGGTGAGTGTGCGCAGTAATGGACAACAGAACCGGCTTCAAATTAAATGATCCTTAAAGCAGGTTCGGCTTGAGAATAATATGGTTTCTCATTGCAACAAAAATTGAAAAGAAATTCAATGTGTGGTGAATGATGTTGTTAACACTGTGTCTTGAATAAATAAGAAACATTACAATCGTTAAGAACTTTTAATACAGTAGACTACAATACAAAGCTGGTAAGGGGCTTACAACATCAGAATCGAGATTTGAGATTCTGGTATAAAGGAAATCGTATATTTGTCGTGCGATCGAGTTTAAAGATCTATTTATGCTCAGTGAGTATAAAAATAAGCAATGAAAGAATAAAATAAGTTGAAATTTTATTTTGGTGCGGGACAAAATTTCAGGTGTGCAATGCCGAAAACACAGTTTGAATACGGGTAGCCACAAAGTCGACAAACTCAAATGCCAATAACTCAAATATCTCAAAAATGGAGCATCGGCAGAGGGTATGTACAGTGGCACCACGCTCAGAAGGTTCCTGACAGGGCGTGTCCGAGGACGTTGGAAATTTAGACTGTACATTCTCATGCAATATTTGACTCTACTAAATATAAATAAGTGGGCCACGCGATATGAGTTGCATTACTTCAAGGGGAAACAGTAAAATTAATAATTTTATTTCTACAAAACGTAAACACATTTAAGATTGTTAGATGTTCATGTTCAACACAATTTACAATTCTGATGCACTTCTGCTGTGTAAATATGGACAGTTATTGAAACAATCACATTGAAATTAATAACACTCACATTGACTAAATTAACACACAACCTTTAACTTTTTTCATTCATTATCGTCACTTGACCACTAATCATCATTGGAACTGCCGGTGTTCACAATAAATTGTACATTGTCAATAAATTCATTTCTCGTAGGAATGTTATTTGCTTCTAACCAAGAACGTATCACTTCCTTACGATTATTCATTGTTGGTGGCTTATTTATTTGAACACTGATAAGGTGCGTGAGTTTGCTGGTAAATTTGGTATAAGCTGCTTCTCTAACCAGTAACCACTGCATAAAGTTGGTATGATTCATATCATCGTAATAATCCCCCGATTTACTGTGCGACATCCTCTACAAAACCAGAACAACTACCAGCATACTACGATGTACCTCTGACCAGCCCTATTATAAACTTCCGATACTTCATCTGATTGTTAGCATTTACTCACTTCGTACGATGGGTGAATATAGGTTTCATCCAAGTATATAACGGGTTAATTGTCACATTCAGGTTGTTCATAAATAAAGGTTATTTTAAAATGCTCCTAGAAAAGTGCAAGAAAAGATCAAATATATGGGTGGAAGGAAAACTCTTCGCAAGCAATTGTTGAAACTTGGTTTTCGATACAAGAAGTGTCGGGACAAACGTAGGTTGGTAATGGAAAGAAGTGACATTGTAGTATGGCATCTCGTTATTTAAGAAGATTAAAAGAAAATGAACAACCTGAATGTGACAAGAAACCCGTTATATACTTGGACGAAACCTATATTCACTCATCGTACGGAGTGAGTAAATGCTAACAATCAGATGAAGTATCGGAAGTTTATAATAGGGCTGGTCAGAGGACATCGTAGTATGCTGGTAACCTGGTAGTCGTTCTGGTTTCGTAGAGGATGTCGCACAGTAAATCGGGGGATTATTACGATGATATGAATCATACCAACTTTATGCAGTGGTTAAGGCCGTATTAGACGATGCAATTTTTATTGCAATCCTTGCAGCAACTATTGCTGCTATTATTGCAGCAATTATTGCAAAAAGATGCAATGATTACACTATGCAATTTATTTGGCAATTTTTTTATACCCAATTCTAATCATGTATTTACCAGCAAACTCACGCACCTCGTCAGTGTTCAAATAAATAAGCCACCAACAATGAATAATCGTAAGGAAGTGATACGTTCTTGGTTAGAAGCAAATAACATTCCTACGAGAAATGAATTTATTGACAATCTACAATTTATTGTGAACACCGGCAGTTCCGATGATGATTAGTGGTCAAGTGACGATAATGAATGAAAAAAGTTAAAGGTTGTGTGTTAATTTAGTCGTGAGTGTTATTAATTTCAAGGTGATTGTTTCAATAACTGTCCATATTTACACAGCAGAAGTGCATCAGAATTGTAAATTGTGTTGAACATGAACATCTAACAATCTTAAATGTGTTTACGTTTTGTAGAAATAAAATTATTAATTTTACTGTTTCCCCTTGAAGTAATGCAACTCATATCGCGTGCCCACTTATTTATAT